TATACCGCCTTGTGCATTGAGGAGCACCAGCTGAACAAAGAAAAGGAGCTGATAGGAAGACTAGAGGAATTGAAGGAGCAACTAGCACCCCTAGAAAAAGTGAGAAGTTTCTCATTGTATTTTACTTATCCTCCAAACGCAGTCTTAATTTATTTCAAGGTTTTAATTAGGTCCTTGGCATGCTTTGAATAGTTTTAAGATTACTGAAGCAGAAGATGCACTAAGTGTATACCAAACCGTGTCTTTTTCTGGTTTCTGTGGAAGTATTTTGTTTCCTTGCTTTATATAATTGGAAATGAGCTTGGTAGTAAATAAAGGTTGGGGCTAATGCAACAGAACATCTCTGAACATAGAGAAATAAGCAGCTTTGCGAGCTATCCAGAGCATGCTCAGAGTAAAGTACAGATGATGGCAAGATACAGATGGAAAAGAAGTCTGGATTTGTCTGCAAAACCTAGACTCAAATCATGTGTCTCAAACCACTTAGCATTTAATATCAATACAAGGTATTATTTTTACACTTTCTCTTAATTATATCAATGTAATTATTTTTGAGAATACTAGGCATGTACTTTTGTCTCTTGCAGGTAAGGATGGAGCTCAGCAGGCAAGCAGAGAAGAGGACAACCTTGGTGTTGTGGGGAGGCCTGGCCTACATGGCCACTCAGTTTGGGATTCTGGCCCGCCTAACCTGGTGGGAGTATTCTTGGGACATTATGGAACCAGTCACCTATTTCATCACCTATGGTAGTGCCATGGCAATGTATGCTTATTTCGTAATGACTCGCCAGGTAGGACCTGTTGTGCTGACATTGACCCTTCAATAGAAGAGTTGCTTTGAGCTCTACTCCCTAGACAAATAGCAAAATTGTGCCTATTAGAAGTTACTTTGCCCCTTCCTTATCCTGCGAGAACCTAGATGCCACTTGATTTAATCGTTGCTGTCCAGGACGGTGGTGTATGGTTGTGGGGTTTTCTGGTGGTGGTCATTGCCGATTTCCTGGTTACCTAACCATAAATGCTTACATATGTTCTGTGATTGACTGCTTTAGCTATACAGGTTCATCTACTGACAGGTAATGGTTTCTGCGCACCCACGCAGCCTCACACACATTGACTTGCACTGCAGGCCTCCAAGTGCTGTGATTTATCAGCCCAAATAAACAGTGGGTACGCGAGGTACCTACTGAGTTTCAGGGAAGCACACCTCTCTGACATGATATGCTGGCCTTTTTAAAGAGACAAGAAAGGGTCAGGGATCATATTGAAAATGCTTTTGTTTAGGCATTTGAATGCTTGCCCCCCTTGGTGCAGTTCCAGATCTGTTCGCTCTCAGGCTCAGTCTTTTAAAAACCAGACCTGCTCCATTGTTGGAAAACCTTCGCACAAAGCGGAGCTGTGCTTCTCTGCATCCTTGTAGTTGTGCCAGACTCCGTGTGGATTTCTAGTACATGGTTTGGTTTGTCTCAGCACTCCCATTCAAACTTCATAATCCCATCAAAATAATGAGGGAGGGCTCAAAGAGTCTCTCCTGTCACAAGACCACCAGAACAGATGCTGCGGGTGTTCCAGCGTGGTGTTCCAGCGGTCTGTCAGCTGCATCGTTTCAGGGTCTGAGGATACGTGTGCCCTTGTCAGGGCTTCTGCTGTAGTTTTTGCCAAGTGTGGCTGGAACTTCTGCCTTGTTTGGACTCAGATGTGATATTTTAATCAAGTCATCCATATAAACTAGTACTTCTTCTGCCAGACTTAAAATCACAGTGTTTCAGGGATGGCTTGACTAGGAATGCAGCTTCTCTCCACCTGACAGCCCTGATCGTTGGATGCATACCAGACAGAGGCTGTGATGTTCCGGTGCAAGGGAGAGTTAACTTCAGCAGGCAGACCTGTGCTTTGTAGAGGCTATGTGGGATTTGGTGTGAACAGCTCTGCTGCTCTGAGTTATCTGCACGCTCTAAAAAGGTGGGACATTTTGCAGTAGAGTATCCCTGGCAAAAGCTGTGGTATTGGATTCTTATTCTTGCCTGTGTAGCTTGGTTGAGAGATGAACTCACGAGCAACTATTGTTACTTTAATTAGCCATTGAATGTTTATGACCTTGAGGAAAAAGAGAGTAAGAGCCATCTTACAAAGGTTTTCTTCCGGTATTTATAGCTTTTTCTTTTTACTTTCTCTCCACAAACTTGTCAGTATTGGAACCCTGAAATGTGTTAGTTTTTGTTCTCTCTGGATTGAAGGATTCACACGTTTGGGACAGGAGGGAGGTGATGGTAACTCACTGCTGGAGTGTAACATACTTGTGGAGAAACAGTAGTGGGTCTGGCTGGGATGGAGTTAATGTTCTTTATAGCAGCTGGTATGGTGCTGTGGTTTGGATTTGTGACCAAAACAGTCTTGAACAGTCTTGATAACACCAATGTTTTTGCTGTTGCTGAACAGTGCTTGCACAGCATCAAGGCCATCTCTGTTTCTGGTTGCTTCCCTCCGCTCCCCCCCGAGGGGGTGGGCAAGGTGTTGCAAGGGGACGCAGCCCGGGACAGCTGACCTGAACTGACCAAAGAGACATTCCATACCATATAACGTCATGTCCAGCAGTAAACTGGGGGGGGAGTTTCTCCAAAGTAGCTGTTGCTCAGAGACTGGCTGGGCATTGGTCTGCTGGTAGGAGGTGGTGAGTGATTGCCTTTGCATTACTCTTGTGGGTTTTTTTCCTTCACTTATTAAACTGTCTTTATCTTGGCTCATGAGTTTTTCTTGGGTTTTTTGCCCTTTTGATTCTCTTCCCCCATCCAGCTGTGAGGGAGTGAGTGACTGGGTGGGGCCTTAGCTGTTGGCTGGGGTCACCCCACCGCACTGGGTGAGCTTAGACAATGCTGTCTGATCTTGTGCCTTTGCTGACAGAAGCTAGTCATCCTTCCAAAACACAACTGATAAATACTGTGCCAATGGTATCCTGCGTTGCATCCTGTTGATGCTTTATTGCTGTCTTCTCTGCCTTTTTCTTTTTAGGAATATGTTTATCCAGATGCCAGAGACAGACAGTACTTATTATTTTTCCATAAAGGAGCCAAAAAGACACAATTTGATCTAGAGAAATACAATCAACTCAAGGATGCAATTGCTCAGGTAACAAGAATTTTTCCAGAAATAAGACAAAGAAATTACTGCTTGCTAGTTCTTAGCTGCTATTAATAGATGCACCTCAAACACAAATGGATGTGTCTTAAGTTTTCAGCTCATTTTCTTGTCACAGCCCCAGTGCAATCACTGAATTGGCTTTGATGTGCCCAGGAATAGAACTGCTGGATGTGTAATCAATGTGAAAGTTGCCTGTATCTGTCTGTAAGGGCCTTTTAGAAACTGCTGGCAAATCTTGAGTTGCTTCAGGCACTTCATGCCTCAGAGGAGCCTAATTCAAGATTTCCTTTCTTCTCAGCTCCTACACACCAGATGGATTTAGTGAGGAATGAAGACTTGCACCCATTCAGTTCATGTCTTCCTGACATAGCACTTCAGTGCACTGGGTTGCAGTCCTGGAAAATAATGTTCAAAAAATTTAGCTGTATTGTTAGAAGCAATGGGGGCAGATTTCTTGCATTCTGGAGACAGACCCTTTTGGCAGACTATCCACATTGCGGGATCTGTTCAACAAAGGAGTCGGGTAGAGATCTTTTCTCATGTTTCTGAGAGCCTTTCTGCAGAAGAATGGCATGAGCAGAAAAAACAGAGTACCACGTTCTTTTCTACTGCTCCATATCATTCTCTGTTTATTCCTAGGCTCTGGAAATGACAGCATAGGATATCCAGGGCAAGATGTGTTCTCCCCCTGCCTTGGAGAAGGAGCTGTGCAAGCAGTAGAGGGAGGTCAGGGCTAGGCTCTCTCTGTTTCACGAGAAAACCCAGAAAGACTTCTGGGTTTTCTCATTCTGTATTGAACACAGATACCCTTGGGTGGCTGTATTTTTATGGAGCTTTTCTTCTAGAATCAACAGTTCCCATTGATCTCATTTGTTGGTGTTTTTTTTTTTTAAAAAAAAAAAAAAAAAGGTTTCCATGAGTTTATGGGGATCAGATCTTCCCTACCATATTCTTTTTAAGTGGCTGCATGTAGAGAAGTTCAAAGAAGTACAGAGCAAACGTCTTTCAGTAAGGGCCGAGAATGGTTTTTGCAGATATAAGCCTGTGAATTTTTTGTTTTACTCTTTGAACGCTTCCCTTCTGGATAGGAAAAACAAAGAAATACAGAAAAGCTTTCCATTCTGTAAAGGGGAATGGTATTGGGGAAGGTGTATTGGGAGCTTGTTCTTTATAATGTGTCTTTTACTTTTAGGCAGAATTGGACCTTAAGAGGCTTCGAGACCCACTGCAGGTTCACCTGCCCATCCAGCAAATTGATGAAAAGGACTGATCAGCAAAGAAGCTCTGAACCCCGGCAAAAAACCTGTTCATAGCTCTTGCCTTTTTAATTAAAGCATTGCAGGTGGAAGCTGGGAGGTGGTGTGGGGGTGGAGGGTTTTCACCTTTAATCAAGACAAAGGACTGTAGGGGGGGAATCTCTTAAATTGAAGATGGGACATTGTGGAATGTTAGTTCTGAAAAGGGCTTGGCAAATAGTCACATTTAAAAACTGTCTAAATGGTAATTGTGTACAAATACAGGATTGGGGGGGTTCATGAAAAGAATGTAATGCTGGGGTGTAGGGTTTTCTTCTTCCAGCTTTGCAGGGTCTGCCTCTTGATAAGACACCAGCAGCCTGCTTAGCTTTTTAAATTTTCCTTTACCTGATTCAGATCTCTTTCTCTCTCAAAAAAAAGGAGAAAAAAAAAAAAAGAACAAAGAATCCAAGCCACCTGGAACTATGGCTGGTGATCAGAACTTGCGCTCCATCGTCATTAACATGCACACTTCTGATCAGACCTGGTCTCTTTTATAAAGTTACTACAAGACTGCTTTCTACTGGAAAACCGTGAGCTTCCCCTTCCCAGCCCACCCCATGTGCTCCACTGACTTCCTCCTTTGCTTATTTGTAGCACAGATTGGTTGTAGCCAAGTGAGAGAAGGAACGAGTTTTCTTCTGGACATTTGATAACTGATATTTTGGATTATTCCATAGTAACTATATAAACTTTGCGTCCCAATGCCCTTGAGCTCCTTCTAGAAATCAATGGCAGCATTGCATGAGAGGTTTTTTTATATTCAGTCTTAAGGGAGGGAGATTCCCCTCTTCCTACCCCAAATCTGATAGTCACCTGGACTATGAAATTGTGAAGGTTTAAAGGATTATGAAACTGTTGCAGAATCATGACTCTTGCTTGAATGAACAGTTTTGGAATATGAAATAATTAAACTTGATATTTGACTGCTTATGTAATGGGATAAAAGGTCTCATATATGGTCAAAGCATTTTCCTTGCCCAGAGGCTTTTTGAAAGCCCGGGGCTCTTACAGTGCAAGACGCAGAACTACTTCAGTTCTACAGCACTTTCCCCTACTTAAGTAGCTTTAAATGAACTTTGCGCCGACAGGTCAGAATTTCTTAGGAGTGGCTGATGACATCTCTTGTTCTTAGCTAAAAGAAATGGAGGAAGGAAAGTCAACCCATTGCCCTCTCTTCTAGCCAAGGCTGGCTGATTTCTAAGCAGATAAAACATCTCTTCCTTCAAAGCAGGTCAGTCTGGTTTAGCATCCTGCTGATAAATACTGTGGAGACAGGATGAAGGTGGAAGAAGGGCACTAAGCTTTATATACAGAAAAGCTGGCTGCTTTGTTGATGTTTCACTATTACTCCTCACTGTGTCATGGAAAGAGGCTTCTGGTTTTGGTTTTTGTTTGGTGTTTTTTTTTTTTGAGAACCATGTTTTAAAAAAAAAAAAACATAGGAAAGAAAAAAACAAATCAGTATTAACTAGACGCCAGGTGCCTTGCAGATGTGGAAACACAGCTGGAATTGCTGCCTCTTCTCACTCAATGGCATATTGGACCGAATGGGTGCATGTTTCTAGTTTTTTTTTCCCTTCCCCTTTTCCTCTGTCTTTCAATTTAATTACATTGTGTGATTATTTTTTTAATCTGTTTTATCCTGTTTGTGTGGTGAGTTTTAAAGGGAAAAAATTTGAACACGATCCTGTAGCTGAATCCTTGGTGTGTGTTTGGGATTGAGGGAGGGAGCATGGAGAAAAGTCCTTCTTTAAAAAAAAAAAAAAAAAAAAAAAAAAAAAAAAAAAAAAAAATGAAAAAGGTGAAAAACCTGGATTATTTTATAAAAAATAAAAAAGGGGTTGGGGGGGGGAGCATGGAAAAAAAACTTTCTTTAAAAAAAAAAAAAAACAAAACAAAAAAAAAAAAACAAACACTGAACATGTGTAAAATCCTGTATCATTTATGAAATATGTATAAAAGAGCAATGTACTTCTGGAACAATAAATAACTATTCAGTTTTTGAATCAGTGCTCTTGAATAATGTTATTTTCCTCCTCTGAAAAGAGAATATTGTATGTGTGGCAGCTGTCTCCTGAGTTTCCTCCATTTCTTTTTGTTTAGGTTGTTTCTTCTTGACCTTACATCACTGAGGCCGTGGTGATGCAGATAATAGCTTTCCTGAAGAAGCTCGGGTGGAGATCTTGCTGCCATGCCTAGCTGCGTAACACAGGGATCTCAGGAGCAGTTGAGGTGGTGAGGTAGAGATGTTTGGTCCAACAAAGATCTGCCTTTGTTTGACCAGTATAGTAGCTCCATGTGGAGGCTGACAAAAATCTAGAGACATGTGGCACGTTGCAGGATAAGAATATATATGGGTGTGTAATGCCCAGCAACCTAAAACGTACCAAGTGGTGTCAGTTTATTCTATATTGCATTCAAGTGCTGTTTCAGAGGAAAACTGAAGTTTTAAGCTTCTGTTACTTTCTGGGTCTTTGGCTGTGGTTTGATTTATCATGATGACGTATTGTTTGTTCATTAACTTCGGGAATCAGCAGACTGCACTTTGTCCTAACTTTATGGGATGTTAAGATGAGATGTTTGGTGCCAAAAGACTTTTTTTTTATCATGTCCATTGACTGTATTAAAAAAAAAAAAATTCATGATTGGCCAGTTTTAGAAACAGCCAGCTGTCTCCTGTGTTTTTTAAAGTCAGAGATGATGGGCTGGAAGGTGTTAGTTGTGACCTACCTTTAATCATTGTTGAAATTTCAGCAATGCTGACAAACCCTCTTCCTCCAAGCAGCCCTTAGTCTGCTGGTGTGTGCAGATGAGCTGTTGCCCAGCCTAGACAAATTGCTTGGAACAGTCGCATACGAAGTCATCTGTTTTGGCATCCAGAAGAACTGAAGACTTTGACATCTAGCACCACAATCCCTATTTTGAAAGCAAGAAAATGGTGTGACAAAATTGTTCCTGCACATGCTTTAATGTTGTTCTAGAGTTGATGGGGGAAAAGGAGGTAAAATAAGAGTCTACAATTGTACCCTGAAATATGGGCTGTCCAGCGGGTCTTGTTAGTCTGTACCCTTGGAAGATTGCTGTCTCACTCCTCTCTGCACCAGTGCACACCTGGTCAAATCTCAGTTGTTGCCCTTGAATGCTAACACCGAAGGGAAAGGTGATGTTTGTTTGCTCTCCTGATACACACCGTTGCATATCAACATGGACAAACTCTTTTGCAGTAGCTATTTCATGCCTAGGAGCCAGGCAGGTAATAGGGTCCTGTCCACCTGGCAGCACTTTAAGAGCAGGCACTGCTGCCTGAATCTTAATGTAATGCTGCATTCTTAAGACCCTATGAAGGATAAACAGCAGTGTGCATTGCAGTATTCAGATGCTGCTTTTTCTACCAATTTTGCCTTATCTCTCTTCCCTCTCTTCTGTGAGGGAGCTCTCAAATAAGCACATCAAGTTCAAAATTGTCTGGAGAAATGTATTAGGTTCCCCTTTTGCCATGCCTGCAAGGCTCTACCTTGCAAACATCTCCAGGGAAGGTGTTGATGGCTCTTTTTTCCTGAAGAGCAAAAAAGAGAAACCCTTTTTCTTTTCCCCTGTAACCCTTCCTACCTGGCAGGCGGTGATGATGATCACCTTGCTGCAAGTTCTTACGCTTCCATGTTGGGTCTAAGGGGGGTTGCATGATGCTCTGAAGCTGCTGTTGGCTGTCAGACCTTGGCACTATGTCAGTCATGTGAAGCTGGCCAAGTTGCCCTGTCTTTCTGAGCCAGTGGAACAACTTCTTTCATTTCCTCTGTGTTTTTTGTGTGGAGTTGTAAATGCAAACTCCTTTCCTCTGTGACATGTTGCATGATGTTATTTTCACGTAGGAAGGAGATGTTTATATCTTAAGTATTTTTCTACCTATCCCAAGAGATTTCAATTATTCCCTTTAAAAAAAAAAAAATCAGTTTTATTTCTGTACTGATATTAAGGGGGTGAAAAGTGAAATACAGGAATGGAAATTAAACTTGCAGTGTATCTAAGCCCTGAAGTATGGGAGAAGTTGGTGTTATGCTGTGTCACTGTGGCTCTGTGAACTTATAAAAGATGGGTCCTATTCCTGTTTCTGCCCCTGGCTAGTTTTACAATTGTGGGTATGCTGTCTATGCCCTAATTCTTCCATCTAGAAATTGAGGATCATGGAAAATACACTGGGTTCTGTAGGACCTGTGGAAGAACACTCTCAAAACACCAAGTTCTGCATCACAGGGCTCCACTAAGGGAAAGGAAATAACTGCTGCTGTTTGCTAGAAGATACGTACTTGTCCGATTTTAATGGGGTCTTGGTGTTTTACTTTTTCTTGTGTTGAGTTTGCTCATGTTTCACCAAACTCGTGTTCACTCCCTGATCTCAACAGCTCTTCTCATTGGCGCTGTGTCCTGGGACAAGTTGTTTACAGTAACAAGGCCTATCTTTAAGTCCTTGACATTTGTGCAATCCATCTCAGCAGCCTGTCAAGGCTTATTGTGAACGTACATCCTCAAATCAATTGCAGGCAGGGATCGTGTCGTGTGTGTTGCGTTCTCCTCTCTCTCAGCGGCAGGAAGCGCTGATTAGCTCTTCCGCCTGCTCCTTCTAGGCAGGAGTTACTCCTGCACCAAGAGCTGTTCTTCACACACCTCACTTTCATCAAACGTTCGTGTGTCTTGAGAGGTGGCTCTGACACAGACAAGGCCAGCTTCAGCAAACACCGAAGGGTCTTTCTTCATTAGTCCATTACAAAAGGCATGAGGCTTTCCAGCCTAGCCAATGCTTTGAAGAATTTGAGTTCCTTGTGTAAGGATGGTAAAACGTTCCAAATCTCTGGGAGGGGCAAGAAGTGTGGTTGCCACCTGTAAAATTAACATCTTTTCTTGCATTAAGAATAGACATGCCCAGGCTTAGACAGCAGCAGGTTTAGAAGATCCCATCTCTTGGGTACCAAAATAAAATCCCAACCCTCTATTTTTAATATTGCCTTCCCTCTTCATATCTTCTAACCCATAGTGGTGACTACTTTTAAGAAATACTAACTTGATCCTGATTCTTCTTGCTGCTTGGGAAGTCAGGCTCACTCATCTTTGGGGTTGGGAAGCGGAGGCCAGGAACAACAGATTTACCAGATCTGCCTAGAAAGCACAGGCCCTACAGCATCTGGAGTACTCCATTGGAACTGTATCCTCTCTCCCAGAGGGTCTTTGCAGGGAGGGATTTTTGGTTTTTTTCCCCTCTTCCCCTCTTGGGAATAATTGCTCCAGCTCCCTGAGACATAGATTTGCAGTGGCCTACTCTAATACAGGCTACTATTGTTTGGAGGGGGGAACTGGAGCTATGTCTGTCACCCAAAATACCTTGCAAAGCAAAGAGAAAGTGCTGATAGAAGAGTTGCCTCTGCTGGTGCTTCTTCTGGAAGACTGAGATGGTCTTTGTC